GACAATACTTACAATGCTCCAAGTTACTGTATAGGAACAATGTCAAGAAATATGGTATGTTTTCATTGAGTACCTGGAACATACTGGCATATGTAGGGTGACAACGTATTGCAGTTTATGTCATTCCAGCCGGGCCACGAGTCGGTAGAGGGAAGGTAGTGTACGCAATGCTCGTTGTCGTGTTCGTTGTCTGGTTGTGCCCAAGCCCAGTTGGTGTAGCTTCCGAGTGCAGTGCCATCCATCCACTCAAACTTTCCTTCTGTGCGCTGATCATGGAGACCAAACCAGAAGAAGGATTTGTCGTTCACGGCGTTCTTGAGGGAGATGAGGAAGGCGTCTGTTGCAGCGTCTCGGGGCATGGCGAGGGTGCCGCCAGCTAGATGGCAACGCTGGGCAGATGTCGTGAAGTTTGCTGGGATGTTAAATGCCTTGTAGCACACCCCACGATGCGTTTTTATACCCCCCTGGGGCAATATTCTGCAAAACATGTTCAGAAAAAACAAAGTAATATCAGAGAACAATAACAAATACATGCCAGTTAAATGTACAATCTGCGAGCATTGAAAATCAAATTTAAAACAAGAGTTCCGAGATCTCATACCTCCATGAAATATGGGCTTGATATGTAAATGTAAATTTGTTCTTTAATTACGCAAATGACCTCTGCATTAACATAATATATGCATCGTGATGTTAACTTTTGATTAACTTAAAGATGTCCCAAGTATGACATTCCCATCATTCACCATTGAGAAATCATAGATTTTTTGCATTAATTATGCAAATTAGGTCACCATTTGCATAATTAGTATCTGTTGATGTTCCATCTGCCATAGGTTACATACATTACATGTATGAAAGTTCTATAATGTAAAACACTGTAATTATAGAATTTCCTCATTAATTATGCAAATAAAGTCCTCATTTGCATAATTTGCGGTTAATTATGTACATCTCTCTGTCAGATACCTACACACCAAAAATGATGAAAATACGCTGTTCCTATCTGGACTTATTGGCTTTCAAAGATTTCGCCCGAAAGTCCCCTGCAGTTCCTGAACAAGCTGCTAGGAGGACCAAACCCACACCACTTATTCCTGACAGGAAAAGCTATCTGTCACCAAAAATTCAAGACCATAGCATGTTCAGGACCAAAGATACAAAAACCGGAAGTTCTGCTGCAGTACCAAGGTCATCCACCAGGAGGCCCATATTTGACCTTGACCTTTGTCTTCCTAAGACATATCAGCATACCAAATATCATCACAATCCATAAAGGCGTTATGAAGTTATGCTGACTACAAAGTTGCGGAAACACACACAGACACACAGACACAAAGACACACACACAGACACACACACACACAGACACACAGACAGACGCCGCCAAAAACAATACCTCCATTTTTCATGGAGGTAAAAAGGTTTCAGGATTAAAACGACAATACTTCCAATGCTTCAAGTTATTGTGTAGAAATCATGTCAAGAAATGTGGCATGTTAAAGGAAGTACCTGGAACATATTGGCATATGTAGGGAGACGACTTGTTGCAGTTCATGTCATTCCATTTGTTGTTCCAGCCGTCCCACGAAGGAAAGTAGTGAACGCAATGCTCGTTGTCGTGTTCGTTGTCTGGTTGTGCCCAAGCCCAGTTGGTGTAGCTTCCGAGTGCAGTGCCATCCATCCACTCAAACTTTCCTTCTGTGCGCTGATCATGGAGACCAAACCAGAAGAAGGATTTGTCGTTCACGGAGTTCTTGAGGGAGATGAGGAAGGCGTCTGTTGCAGCGTCTCGGGGCATGGCGAGGGTGCCGCCAGCTAGATGGCAACGCTGGGCAGATGTCGTGAAGTTTGCTGGGATGTTAAATGCCTTGTAGCACACCCCACGATGCGTTTTATACCCCCTGGGGCAATATTCTGCAAAACATGTTCAGAAAAAACAAAGTAATATCAGAGAGCAATAACAAATACATGCCAGTTAAATGTACAATCTGCGAGCATTGAAAATCAAATTTAAAAAAAAGGTTTCAGGATTAAAACGACAATACTTCCAATGCTCCAAGTTATTGTGTAGAAATCATGTCAAGAAATGTGGCATGTTAAAGGAAGTACCTGGAACATATTGGCATATGTAGGGAGACGACTTGTTGCAGTTCATGTCATTCCATTTGTTGTTCCAGCCGTCCCACGAAGGAAAGTAGTGAACGCAATGCTCGTTGTCGTGTTCGTTGTCTGGTTGTGCCCAAGCCCAGTTGGTGTAGCTTCCGAGTGCAGTGCCATCCATCCACTCAAACTTTCCTTCTGTGCGCCGATCATGGAGACCAAACCAGACGAAGGATTTGTCGTTCACGGCGTTCTTGAGTGAGATGAGGAAGGCGTCTGTTGCAGCGTCTCGGGGCATGGCGAGGGTGCCGCCAGCTAGACGGCAACGCTGGGCAGATGTCGTGAAGTTTGCTGGGATGTTAAATGCCTTGTAGCACACCTCACGATGCGTTTGATAACCTCTGGGACAATATTCTGTAAAACATGTTCAGGAAGTAATATCTGAGAGCAATAAAGCATGTTTAACAACTTATTACACAGCTAAATCTAATTTGATAAATAAAAAAAACACAATAAAACTAATTATAATTTATGGTCACGATATGTAGAGCAGATGTCTTTCATTCGGCTTAGGCGTACCTCGCTGTCCAATGGGACTTATCAACTTTCGAGGCCCAACTTTTCCTGCTGGTCCATCCATTCCCTTAGGAAGACTTGGTCCCATGGGTGGTCCGATAGACCCAGGACCAGTCGGCCCTATGGATCCCATTTTACCTAGATGAGCAAGTTGACCAGGGGTGCCAGCTCGCCCCATGAACCCCATTTCTCCTGGAGGCCCAAGTGACCCCATGGGTACAATTTTTCCTGGAGCCCCAGGAGGCCCGCCAGACACAGGGCCAGCTGACCCCATGGGTCCCTTTTCTGCTGGAGGCCCAGGAGGCCCGGTAGACACAAGTCCAGCTAGCCCCATGGACCAATTTCCGCATGGAGCTCCAGTAGACCAGGTAAACACAGGTCCAGCTGACCCCATGGGTCCCTTTACTTCTGGAGGCCCAGGAGACACGGTAGACACAGGGCCAGCTGGCCCCATGGATCCCTCTTCTCCTTGTGGTCTGGGGGGACATGGCGGGTCCGGTGGTCCCATCACTCGAGACGAGGTAGTTGACACACTCACTGATAAAAGAGGATAGATAGAGCGTTTAGCTGTCAAAGTAAATGAATTGTAGCTTGCAGACTACAGATATTACTCTTGTTTGTACCTTTACTTATTACAATTAACTTACATAAAAAGTGGGATTCTGTGTAATTAACTGGTATAATGGTATAATGAATTACATATTACATAACATGGGTTTAACCCTATCAAGACGTGTGATGAGCTGTGTTAATAATTAGCTACCTCTAATTTATTTTTCACTAGTAAGAGGATGAATAAATTTTCTTACTAATGAAAAATGAAATAACGCCCTTCTAACTCATGTCTCACTTGTAAGGGAATTAACAAAATATTCAAATTGTGAAAAAATTTAAAAAATAATCATTGAACCCATTTTTTACTAGCAACATAATTAATAAGCTCTCCTACATGTGAAATAATGAGATAACACATCTCAGCTTTTGCTACTAACACTTGCAACCTTGTACATGGTATCTCTCTTATGATATATACATTTGACTTTATTCATAGAAAGACGCAAATCACAATACGATGTTCGGTATTAATGCCTTTAGATATCAATAACCAAACATAACAACCAGTAATACCGAATCTAACCTGCAATATATGCCGAGATTATAATGTTTGCCACGACGATGGCAAAGAGCACTGTACAGGCGATCCCCAGCTTGTTTACTTTATTTGATGTAGTCGGTCCACTGTCATCAGCCTCGTTGTCAGTATCCCCATCGTCGTCTGCTGGTTTGAAAAAAATATCAATTACTTAAAAGTTGATAAAAGTATCGCAAGGGCAAATGATCATAGTAAAAACATTTTTGAAGGGGGGGGGGTTCTTCCCACTGGTTGAGGAAGCAGCGAGCGCCGAAGGCACGAGGTTCCTAGGGGGGTCCGGCATGCTCCCACGGGAAATAAAAAAAAAACCTTCTGACATGGAATTTCCTGAGTTTTTTTAGAGGATTTCAAAGAAAAGAATCACAGATAACTTTTTTCAAGGACTACGATTCCAGAATCAGTCCATCTTTTAAAGAAAAATCTTGGACCTTTAGAAAGTAGTGGACCAAAGGGTGGACCTTTGAGCCTTGTGGGGGGTGGGG